AGTAAGGAGGAAAGGAAGGGAGGGGAAGTGAGGGGAGAGGAGAGGAGGGGAGGGGAGGGAAAGAAAGGAAAGGAAAAAGAGCAAGTGGGCTAAAGGAAAAAGGCTATGGAACTGGGCATAGTGACACATGCCTATGATCCCAGCACTCAGGAGGTGGAGACAGGAGGATCACTATGAATTCGAGACCAGTCTGAGTTACAAAAGTGTGCACAACACTGGCCTGAACTGCACAGTGAGACCTTATCTCAAAAAAGAAAAAGAAAAAAGGAAGAGAAAAGAAACAAGGCTAAGGCATGCCAAATGATAAACACACTTGCATTATCCAGGCTCTCTTATATCCTGCAGTAACTCTTTTGCCTCATCAGCACCGCCTCAAGAACAATTTTTCTAAAGGAAGACATAAAACTGTAAATAAGTGATACAAAGTGGTTTCTCACCATTTTATAGCCTCAAATGTACTTAAATAATACTGACCATAAATTAGGGACCTTCTATCTTAAGAGGTAAAAATTATTCCACATAGTAACTACATATTTGGATCTGGTTCCATTTTTTTAGGGTCATAGGTAATTTTAGAATACTGCTGAAAGCTAAGTGTTATCCATACAAAAATTAACATACAAAGTTTATATATTTTTCAAGAATTAAAATCCCCTAAAGACATCCACAAATCCCAGAAGTATCCAGTAAATCCCAGCCATGTTTCCAGCAGAGGAAACCTTAAGGCAGGAAGATTGCTGCAAAATCAAGGCCAGTCTGGGCTACAACATGAATTCAAGGACAGCCAGAACTGCAGAGTGAGAGCCTGGCTGGGGGGGAAAAAAAGGAAGGAAGGAAGGGAGGGAGGGAAGGAACCTATATTGGTTTATAGGTGAAACAATTTATAGGTTAAGCAATTTGACCAAATATGGTGACATTAAAGGCAAAGCTAGGACTATGACCTAATTTTTGATGGACATGAGTGATTTTTGCATAAGAGAAATTTGGAAATGCCTAGAGAAGTTTCTAACTGTCACAACTACATGAACATAGTGTATTGGCATCTAGTAGGGAGAGGACAGAATGTTACTAAACATCCTCCAGTGTACACAATAGCCCCTTACAAGAGAAAGTCCTCTGCCTAATGTCACAGGGATGTGCGAACTGTGCTCCAGGGCCATGCAGCTCAGCTGTGCTGCCTGCTGGGAGGCAGTGCATGGTGGCAGTGTTGATACCGTCATGGAAGAGATAGTCCCTGCCTAAGGAACTGTGGAGTGGAGGCACAGACACAGCCCTCACACACAAATACAAAAGGCACTGAAAGGAGTGATTCAGAAGGTGTCACGAGTAATCACAAGAGGGATATTTCATAGTTGAACTGATCAAAATCATAGAGAGCAAAAAGTACATCACAGAGGGCCACTGTTAAAATCTGGGAGAGCGTTGGCCCCCAGATTCTACTTCTGCATTGAATAAAACCATGATTTAATTCACAAAAGCCTTGAGAATCTCTTCCCAGGCACTGTGCTACAAATGAGGGTTAGCTCCATACCCTCAAAAGAAAAACTGCTAGTTTGATTTCTACAGTGGCTATTTCTTGTGACTCAGCCAAGCTGAAAAAGATCTGGAAGAAACTTGACTACTGGCAATCTAGCTCAGCAGCACAGCACACACCTGGCAAGTGCAAGGTCCTGAGTTCAATTCCCAGAACCAAAAAAAAAAGAAAAAAGAAACATGACTATGAGTTCTTGTTTTCTAACAACTCATTCTGATGTGGCCAGATCATCTTTTGTCCCTGAGTGAGTAGCTTCCTCTCTCTAACACAAGTTCCTCTCTCAGGCGTCTGAAATGCTTGGTGCCACAAATGCATTTTGGTTTTGGTTTTCTGTTTCAGAATATTTGCATATTCAAGCTATCTTGGAATGGGTGCTAAGTCTAAGCCCAGTACTCACTTACGTTTCACATATACCTTATACACAAAACCTTGAGGGTAATTTTATACAGTATTTTTAGTACACCTATATCTTGGCTGTGATTTGTCACAGGAAATTTTCACATGCGGCATCATAAAAGAGCTCAAAAAGTTTCAGATTGTGGATTTTCAAGTTGGCAATGATCAACCTGTATTTTCTCTATCCAAGAAAAAGCTACAAATCTCTACTTCCAATATGTAACACTGCTAATCTGGCATAAACTAACTTCAAATTCCTAAGGCTCTGCACACCTTTATAGTCAGGCTTCAACATCTAGAGTATATTAAATAGGGATGGTCATGGTGGCAGACGCCTGTAATCCCAGCACTCAGAAGGCCAAGAGAGGAGGATCACTTCAACATCGGGACCAGTGTGAGCTAGAAAGTGAGTTCAAGGCCAGCCTGGACTGCATAGTGAGACCCTGTCTCAAAAAGACAAAAAATACACAAAATAAATAAGGCTAGATCTTTTAATATGCTTCTGAGTTGTACATAAAATCCACAGTGTTGGGCTGGTGAGATGGCTCAGTGGTCTAAAGCACCTACTTAGAACAAGCTTAGCAAAGCACAGGGACCACGGTTCAATCCCCCAGCACCACATGCCAGCCAGCCCCGCCCCCTGGTGGGCTGAGCTGGCCACACACACACACACACACACACACACACAAATAAATAAAATATTTTTTAAAAATCCACAGTATTATAATCAAAGTTTTCTCATTAGAAATCCAAATGTTCGTAACTCATATTGAATATATAACTGGAAGAATAATGTTCTTTAAAAAGAATAAGATAAGGGGCCAGGGAGGTGGCTCAGTGGAATAAGCGCTTCCCTGGCAAGTGCAAGGGCCTGAGTTCAATCCCTGGTTCTGCAAAAATAAATAAATAGCCTCTTTCCGGCTGGAACCATGGAGGTTGCAGAAGAGAAGAAAAAGAAGGTTCCTGCTGTGCCAGAAACCCTTATGAAAAAGCGAAAACATTTCGCAGAGCTAAAGATAAAGCGCCTGAGAAAGAAGTTTGTCCAGAAGACGCTTCGCAAGGCGAGGAGGAAGCTCATCTATGAAAAAGCCAGGCACTATCATAAGGAGTACAGACAGATGTACAGAACTGAGATCCGGATGGCTAGGATGGCGAGAAAAGCTGACAACTTCTATGTCCCTGCAGAGCCCAAACTGGCATTTGTCATCCAGATCAGGGGTATCAAGGGTGTGAGCCCAAGAGCTGGGATTATACACCCATGCCACCTTTGCCAAATCTTCAATGGTACCTTCGTAAAGCTCAACAAGGCTTCAATTAACATGCTGAGAATTGTGGAACCATACATTGCATGGGGGTACCCAAACCTGAAGTCAGTGAACGAACTAATATACAAGCGTGGCTACGGCAAAATCAATAAGAAGCGAATTGCCTTGACAGATAATTCATTGATTGCTCGATCTCTTGGTAAATATGGCATCATCTGCATGGAGGATCTGATTCATGAGATCTATACTGTTGGAAAACGCTTCAAAGAGGCAAATAATTTCCTGTGGCCATTCAAGTTATCATCTCCTCGAGGTGGAATGAAGAAAAAGACCACCCATTTTGTGGAAGGTGGAGATGCGGGAAACAGGGAAGACCAGATCAACAGGCTTATTAGAAGGATGAACTAAGGTATCTACCATGGTGATTTTATGATTTGGTCAGTTAATAAAGTATCTGCTTCCAAATTGAAAAAAAATAAATAAATAAATAAATAAATAAAAATAAATAAATAAATAAAGAATAAGATACCTAGTTTTTATTTCTTTTATTATCCCCTTTTGCTTTCTAATGCCTTTTTGGCTTGAAATCACTGCTACTCATGGAAAACAATGGAACTCTTAGTTTACCAACATTATATTTACCAGAAATAAATGAAACATTTAATTTTTTTTTTTTTTTTTGTATTTTAGGGAAGGGTCTACAGGGTGTTCAGGGTCTCACTATTAGGTCAGGCTTGTAGTGATCCTCCTGGTTACAGTCTCCCAAGAGCTGGGATTATACACCCATGCCACCATGCCCAGTCTCAATTGCCGTCTCAGCATGCCCCAGGGGTGGGGCAGGCACAGCAGGTGCAGGAATCAGGGATCAAACACCCCCCCCACACCTGCTTGCAGGTGCTTTAATCCACTGAGCTATTTCGCAGGTCCTTGAAACATTTAAATTCTATTAGAATTATTTAATTCTGTAGCCTCTGTGTATTTTATTAATCTACATCTATAAATATATACAAATATGTAGCATTTCAAAATAAAAATTATTTTACAATTATGTTGGCACATAACAATAAATGGCCTCACTTACTGCATGTTTCATGTATCCCTGGATACACCAAGAGGCCACCTGGAGGGACCGACTCTTCCATGTATAAGCACACTCTGCAAAGCTCCCATAATAAGGAAACTGCCTAGT